CAGTATATATTTTTTAATTTTACAACATAGGGGACAAACGAGCATGCGGCTTACCTGATGGTAAGTGACTACAGCCGCCCATGATCACCTACAACACCAACGGCATAGCAGGTGTGTTGCCGGCCTTCTAAAAAGGAATAAGATTACGTTGTCATATCGGTTCGGAAATACTGCTGCTGGAAGTTGATTCCAAAGAGTGGTTGTGCGTGGAAGAAAGTGCCTTGTAAAACGCATGGTGGAGGACCGCCACTCGTCCAGATGGTTGGGATGAAATTTTAGTTTATGGCGGGTTGTACGATGGTGAAAATCAGCAGCAGGAATAAATCCGAACAATTCCTCAGAGCCTCGTATTTGGACCAAATACAGAATTAAATATATAAATTCTTTATTGCACAAGTAAATTACACAGATAATACTTTTATAAATATTGTGAGCAAAGGTGGACTTGTTTCTGTAAGAGATCCCTTTCTACAAAAACCGACTTCAATTAATGTGACACAACCAGTTATTTTAGTCTATAAATTAGACTACTGAACCGATTTTGATAAAATTTATATGGGACTAATTTGTATATACATCATTGCAGATAAGAAAAAAATCCAAAATTGGTTTACAACTGACAGTCATGAGATAACAAACATAAAAAATACAACCGAATAGAAATCCTCCTTCTTTTTAAAGTCGGTAGAAAATACTTAAACTTATTCATATTCATATTTCTTTATTAACCAATGTAACAGTTTTCGTAACACAATGGAAAGTCAATATTTACATTGTAATTTTGAAATTATTAAAATAAATAATAACAATAAGATTTAAATTCTAAAATAAAAATAACATTACAAATGAATTATAGGTAACATTATAAATTAGTTAATACATGTCAATATAATGGTGACTATATACCAATAATGATGACTTAATTAACAAACAACCTCGTGGTCGCGGCCTACCTACATAGATACCTACAAAATTATAATCTCATATGATTAGTTTCATTTCTAATGTACTTACTTTAATTGTTAGGTATGTATTTTAATTATTATTTTCCTTTTTTAACTTTATCTCTGTCTATTTGTCTTTGATAATTTATTTAAATTCACTAACCTAAGGTTGCCTGTTAATGGCGCTCTTAGAACTAAAAGATTGTTTTCCGCAATAGGAGCGCTTTATGGTACACTACCTATCCGTCCTGGCTTCGCATGGGTGCAAAACTTTAACGACAGCGCCATTTATCGGAACAATAAATAAAACTGACCTGTCTTGCGAGTTGGAGCAAAAATTTTACACGTTTACAATATTTCATTAAAATTGACTGAACGGTTTCGAAGATTAGCGTGAACGAACTCCGTGACACGGGATTTTAAAATCATTTAATTTTGATGTATGTATTGCATTTTCTTTGTGATTTTTAGTTTAGGTGTTGTCAACTTCCGAGTTAATGAAAAAAATATATAACGTATCTAGATAACTAAGTTACTAAAGTCATATTCAATCAAAATACCTATAGGGTTTTACCGTCTTTTTTTTTTACATTGTATCTACATTATTTATTAATTTAATTTGTATTTAGCACCATAATTATTATATGCATGTATAAGCTTATTACTTCTTAATAGCTAGTTATATATAGCTCCATCTGTTGATATCGTAGAAAATCATCTATTTAAAATCAATACACAACAGCACAATAGCTAAAGCGCCATCTATTTTTATTATACAATACTACATTCATTCAAACTATATGTATTTTATTTATTATCCGACTGTATAAATAGATGTCTCTATAAATATATTTTTTTATCATTGTCTTCATTGGATCAAAGGTTGTGATATAAAACAATAATACCTATTTAGTATCTTTATTTTTCTTTAGAAAAGAATATACTTTCTGTATAAAGCAACTTGATGCCGTTTCATCAATCTGATGGTCCACTTGAACTGATTACAGTCTGTTACTAGATATGAAATTAAGTAACATGGTTTGATTAGTAAAATAGCTTCATACAACGAAAAGAATGTGACATCTGTGGTAGCGCCTCATGAGTACTAGCTCATGATGGATCATATTGTTGCCATTTCTAAGAATTAAGATGTAGGAATAAAGAATCTTGGTCCCTGTTCTTAGAAGTAAAGTGACATGCTTTATTATTACCTCAACTACCTTCTATTTTCAATCGACTTCAAAAAAGAAGCGGTTTTTTATTCGGCTGTATTTTTTTATTTGTTATCTCATAACTTCATTATTTGTAAACCGTTTCGGAAAATTATTTTTTTTTTATCTAAAAGGATATACTTACTTTCAGATTCTTTAAGGAAACTATATCAAATTCGATTTAGTAGTTTAGTGTCAAATAATAATTAAGATTGTGTTTAAAAAAATAACTGTAATGACGGCAAAATCAGTTATTTTTACTTAGAAACTAAACTATTGAACCAATTTTGATAAAATTTCTACGGGGCAAATTTGTAAATTGATAAAAGTAAACAATTTTCCAAATCGATTTACAACTGATGAAGTTATGAGATAATAAATATAAAAAATTGCAACCGAATTGAGAAGCTACTTATTTTTGAAGTCGATTGTAAACAACTGGTCTTGCTACGATTGAAGTTAGTTTTTTGTAGAACATAATCTTCTACTGCAATATTACTAGTGATAATTGCGCAACCTTCATTGGCATACATTAAAGCGATTAATGAAATTGTGCAATACTTGGTATCTATACGCCTATGACACATTTAAATATATGATAATTGTATTATTTTCTTAATTATGCAACTTGAAAACACAAATGACGAGTAACGATTCGCCTGAATGAAAATGGCGATCGTTGAACAGCATTAAAAAGTAATCGATTTATATGATCGATCTGTGAATTAAGTAACTATACATATGGATAATGGTAAAAATCCACAAAAACTATCCAGTGGCGGGCTAAGGATTACGCGTTTGGTCCTGGGAGGCCTCCAAACACTTCCATTCTCCTCATCAATATCCATATTCTATGTATGTTTATTTAAGTCTAATATAAATTTCACTTGCAAGATTTTAACTAAATATATATAAACACTTATACATACAAATGTCAGCTGAGTAACAAGCTTGTAAAGTTACATTAACTTTAACTGGGGGCTTCATTCAGCTTTACCGCCCCGAGTCTCTGACGAGCTTAGTCCGACACTGTATAAATTTGCACTCGTGCACTCTTTGCACTCTCACTCTTTGCACTCCAATCGTGAAAATTTCCAGGAGGGCTCTTTACTAGTAATTGTTAGTAATGGAGACTAGCAGTCCTATTGCAAGCAATATACTTTGTTAGGTTCAACTGCTGTGCAGTTCCTGAAAACCATCGTAACTTATTCTTAATGCTATCATCATAATGAGCCAAATGACCAAATAAATTCTTTATTCAAGTTGTTTAGTTTATCTGTAATATTTTTAATATTTCCCGGCATTACATTCTACATTACCACACACATACACAAACATTATACTTCTGTATAATATGGTTCCCTATAAATGCATAACTACGGGGATGTATGGAGACTCCTGCCCTCTGGTGCGGACGCCGCACAACAATAATGTAATTTTGCGCGGGAGATCGAACAAGCCGGCCTGCAATATATTTTTGGAAATTGGTGCAAATATTCGCAAATCATCGGTTTATTTGGGGTGAGTCTAGTGATAATTTATTATTTTATTTACTTTTTATATATGTATACATAAATGATGAAAAGTAGGCATCGACAAATCACCGTACGGAAGTCCTGAATCAGCGACCTTAGTGAAAAATTCAAAAATTCTACCAAAATCCCTTATTAAACACAGGTTATCAAGGCCCACGCTATTTTTATACACATTATTATAATTACTTACTTGACCTACTTTTTTTTTGTATATTAAACAATATTATATTAAGAATACAAAGATGTACATTTTTATGTGCGATTTTATAATATAATATAGGTATCCAATCTATTAAGAACGAATTTCATAAAACACCTGTTTTAGGTGTGCAAGGTACGCGAAGTGGTGAGTTTTGGGGATTTTGAGTGAAAGAACAATTCTTGGAAGTTTCATTGTAGACACGTTAAGAGTGTAGAAGTGTCAATAAAGATAGAAACAGAAACCACAAATATATCAACCGGATACGAGTCTGTGTTTTAACTAAATAATTAATTACATAATTATAGATTAGATAGAATACCTCTATACTCTATATTGTTACTACGGAGAAATGTCTCTGTCTGTCTGGTATTGTCTTATGTAATTAGAGTGTTATTTCACAATATAAATGTAGTTAATTAAATCGTTATAAAATTGATATTAACTAGTAATCTCATTTCTCATTTCAAAACAAATATAACTTACCGAAATGTTTTCCAAATATATCAATTTTATATATTTTTATTTGTAACATGTATGGCTTTAAATTTTGTATCGTCAATGAGACGTTGCTTCGCGAAAGAGGCCTTTAATCGTGAGAAAATGAACAGGAATTGAACTCTTTCGGTTCACAATTGGCGAAGGCGTACATATATAATACGTTAATTAAAGTAATTTATTCTTCAAAACTAGTGCTAGTATTCATTAATAGGGTCTCAAAAAAAAAGTTTTTTAGACAAAATCTTTATGTCAGTAAAAACTAAAAAAAACAATAAATAATAATAGGTAGGTGCACATTTTATACTGTGTAGTCTAGTGCCGTTGGTACAGACATACAAAGCATTTTCCAAGCAACCTATAGATGCTTTGTATAGAGCTTTGAAATCGGGAAACCACTCAGTAACAGAACCGAAATCGAACCTGGATCCCATTTACTCAAAGCAACATGACTACCGCTACGTCACGGATATCGCCTTATCCCGATTACAGGCGAGGAAAGCCGCGGCCGCAACTAGTTCCACCGCAACGCGCATTGTTCACAGGATGTGTGTACACAAGGAGCGCACAGATAAGAACGGTAATTACAAATCGTCGTGCAGTTAACGAATGCGGTGCAATTATTAGCGCGTTGGACAAAGGAGCCGAGACTATAGCCAGTTTTACGAAGTCGAAGCGCCCGCGCATTCAACCGCGCGACGCAAACAGCCGCGCACGCGTACCATACAATACAATATAATATAATAAAGTGATATACAATGATGCTCGCCGGGGCGCAGATCGTTGAAGACAGTAATGTGGCGTTTAATAAGAACAATGCGAGTGTCGCTATAGAACCTTCAGGGCCGGGGGAGGGGCCCTCGTTCCACGTGAAGCCTTTGATAGGCTCCAGCAAAGTGGTTAGCAGACAACCCGTCGATATGTCCTTCTCAAACATCACTTGCACTGTCAGCTTGGGTTTCAATAAAGGTAATATTTTTTTTATTAAAAAGTAATTAAATCCTATGTATATCCTGTTAGTGGGAGATTACTAAAGTACTTCTCTCCCATTCGTGTTATGTGCCGCGAATCAGCTGTGTTTGCTCGATGATGTTTCAGCAGCAGTGCAGTATTATCCGGTAATTTACAGGATACGTGCCGTGTAGCCTCATTGTCATGGGCGTCACAGTATAATCTGTAATGTTCATGTCTGTAAGTGAAGGGTCTGTAACTCTCCACTAGGTGGCCGTCAGCTTCTCTGACATTCAGAATTGTGTAAAAAATTTCAGTTCATATGTTAAAAAGTAAGCCATGAGGTAGAGTTCCTACTCTACCTCATGACTTACTTTTTAACACTGTTAGTGTATTCTCATAGATTATAAATATACAGAGGTGTCATTAAGAGTATTTCTACAGATAGCATAAACAACGTGTCATTTTAATAATTTAGTGAATCTTTAATAAGTTTAACGTGTACATCTGTGTGTCTAGCTGTCACAACATAACTCCCAAACGAATGAACCAATATCGATGCGATTTTTTTATTGGAAAACTGATATGATCTCGAGATGGATCTTAGTTATAATTTATGAAGATATGTTCAGGTATTGTCGGGGGTTTTTTAATTTTTTAATAAATTTATCATACTGGCGTATCATGGCACATTCCCATATAAACTATCACTTAATCTAAGCTATGGTCTATCTATGTACTTAGCTTTTATTCAACTCGGCTCAACTGCTTAAGCAAAATTGTTCATATTTATAATACATAGTAGTAATAGCAGAATATATTTTTGTTGGATGCAAAAGGTGTTTTAGTTTAATGAATAACTTTATATGTATTTAAAATTGAAATAATACTGCAAGAAAAGAATTTAATTGAAAATGATTACTCTTAATTTATGAACACTCATTTGAGATTAAAACCTTTGAACAGTTTGGACTTTGATCGACTTTGACCCTCTTGGTATTGTTGAAGCCTTTTGAACCAACTGTTATATATAAATTAATAAATTCATGTAATAGTCCTGGTAGAGGCGTGCCGTTAAAGATATAATTTTAATTTTTAGTCTGTGTAAAGATTTTGTTTTCCTACCTACATATGCTGAATCTACGACTTATTTCATGTTTAAAATTATGTTGTTTATGTTGTAATGAAAAATATTCAGTACAATTTGTTAAATATTCAAATTATTTTATTCATGTGGGATATTTTTTGTCACTTATATCTATATTTTTCAACACCACCGTCCAGTTCAAAAACATTTAGTAATAAACACGATTGTACGAGTACTTGTTTTGTTTCTTTTCAAATAAATTTGGCAAAAAAAATTATATTACTAAAAGGCACTGAAATGCATTACAGGGAGTCAGTGAATGCAGGTAGCTCAGAACCGTTTTTTATGGCAGTCTATGGAGGAGGCGTATGTCCAGTAGTGGACGGATAATGGCTTTTTTTATACAACTTAAAATGGCAAACAAGCTGACGGCCCACCTGGTGGAAAGTGGTAACCGTCGCCTATAGACATGAGCAGTACCATGGACATAACAGAGTATACTGTTTCGCCCATAATACCCTCCATGCGTTGCCATTCCTGAGGACTCAGGTGTTATCCCTCTGTACCCTATAAATTCACGCCATATCCCATCCTTCAAACCGAAACACAGCCATGCAAACACAACTGCATTACAGTTGAAACACGAATGGGACAGAGGTACCCAAGCAAACGACTTTTGTACAAAGTCTTCCTCTGGCTGAAATGATGATATGACTAAAAACTAATAATATAAATTAAAATACGTAATAATAGGTATATAAATACCTTTTATGTCTAGTGCCGTTGGTACAGATACAGAATGTTTTTTTTCGAGAATCTTAATTTATTTTTTTAGTTTTGAGAAGTTGATTTTTTTTTTATTTTAGGTAAAAATATTTTCTGAAACCATATTTATTGTGAGTCTATTAAAATAATAATAGTTTTAATAAATGAGTTTCGTTAATTAACTTACTGTACATCACGTGTATGGTCAAATTAATATTAAATACGTTTGTTATCTAAATAATTGTTCAGTAAGTGGAAGTTAATGAAAATGTAAACAAATGAATAATTGACCCGACAATCATTCTGTTGATTTTATACAGTAGTAGAAATAATAATAAAAAAAAAAAGATTACATGATCAAACTTCCCGATTTGTTAGTAATTTCATTTCAGATTCTTCCCTGTGATAATTTCAACAAAACTGTATGTTTTGTACGTTTTGACTGGTATTCACACACATTTTCATCCGTTTAAAAAAATTTTAGCAATAGGGATGTTAGTACTCATTATAATTATAAAAATACTTTACCTATCCCCAGATAGTTACACCGACATTATCACCACCTAAATAATGTCAAAATATCATACATAGTGTATGTATATTTTGTAATTTAATTTAATAAGATATCATATCGTATCGTAGTCTGTTGTAAATTCCTTTCTGTAAATTATTGCGCACTAATAACTTAGCGTATGGTGAATACTCGAGCGTAAATTATTACAATATTACTACAGTGTAAAGAACTCACTTCCCTATGCACTTATTGGCTTACCGGTTACGCTGTACCAATTACATGTACATATCAATTGGTATCTAGGAAATTTGAGGCAGTTTCATTTTACTACGAATAAAATTAATTGATAGACGACGAAATAATATTATATTATAACACAAGATTCATAGACATGTTTCATGTATGGTAAAATGTTTGAATTACACCGGATTCGCGTATTTCTACGAGTAAATTCACATATATCCAGTTGTAGGCTCTTGACAGAGTGATATATCCAGTTGTAGGCTCTTGACAGAGTGGTCGTGGTTTACATGACGACAATGATGGATTGTCGATGGGGCTCTCCTTAGCGATTGAGGTCCTCGCAATGTTTCTCTGTCTATATGTGTTTGCGGTTGAGGGAGAGCATATTCACATATGTTAGTGTGGATATATCATACAGTCTTTAATGAGTGATGGTTTTGATTTTTACTTAATTATTTGAAATGGTTTACAAATATTATTTACAGTTTTTTTTATTTGGATCAGATCTTTAAATTGTAGATATCGATTTTAGTTTATTTTTTTCCTATTTACAGTTGTAATAACCCATGGCTTTTGCACCTTTCAGCCAAGGTCGCGCATGTATTTACTTAGAATGTAGCAAATATAACCTATTGTGGTAAATATTTCCTTATCACGGTCAAAGGGTAATTAGTTTTATCTTGAAATACTAATGATGTTGATGCTTAGCCGAGGACAACTATTAGTGCTCATCTTGTTACTACACAAAGTAATTCTTACAAAGTAATACCCATTATAAATAAAACTTTACGGTATTAATATATTATATATATGTCATACTATACATCAAACTGTATATATTCACTTAGCATCGTTTTGTTCTTACAACTAAAGCGTGAGTCATTCACAAAGAAAGTACCTAAGTCGACGTAACAATGTCACAAAAGACGATTGTTGCATATCTGAAATAAAATAACATGAATAATAATTATTTAAATTACGTAGATTTAATAAGAATTTGAAAATGCAATTCATTTTGACAGAATATGAAAAATGTTCTATGTCTACTTACTTGTATACGAGTACTAATAAGAATTTGAAAATACGATTCCTTTTGACAAAATATAAAAAATGTTCTTTGTCTACTTGTGTACATATATACACACAAAAAAAAAAAGAAATTTAATTTACGCTGTATAATTTGTCTAGTGGTATTTATAAATATTCGAGGAGGTTTTACAATATTTCATCTATAGAAGAGCAACAAATAATAGAAAGATAGTAACTAAAATTAATTTGAACGTTGCATGATATGTATATGTAATAATTATTTTGATACTTTACTCTCAGAACGACGACTTAAATATATTGAATTGACAAATTTAATGTAAGCCCAATATCGACATGATCGATAATGTATAAAATTAATTATTTTATTAATCAGGATATTGTATAAAACGTATATTATTTTCATACCAGTCATTAACTACCAGAGGGAGACTTTGTACAAAAGTCGATTGCTTGGGTACCTCTGTCCCATTCGTGTTTCAACCGTGAAGCAGTTGTGTTTGCATGGCTGTGTTTTGGTTTGAAGGGTGGGATATGGCGTGAATTTATTGGGTACAGAGGAATAACACCTGAGTCCTTAGGAATGGCAACGCATGGGGGGTATCATGGGCAAAACAGTATACTCTGTTATGTCCAAGGTACTGCTCATGTCTATAGGCGATGGTTATCACTTTTCATCAGGTGGACCGTCAGCTCACTTGCCATTCTAAGTTGTATAAAAAAAAAGTCATTAACTGTCCACTGCTGGACATAAGCCTCAGGGGGGGAGCAATTGTTGCCAGATTTGGCATGCAGGTTGGCAACCGTAGTTAGGCTTTTGGTGATGTTTTAAGAGAGACGCTGCTGCCCGTTAAGTTTCTTTAGTCGTCTCTTACAACACCCACGGGAAAGGAAGAGGTGACCTTTTCTATGCCGGGGTCACATAGCATCAATAGGTGTAGATGATTTAAGTACGCCCTTGTTTTAAAATGAATGCTTTTATTATAATGTCATTGCTTTAATATTTTTTATTATTACCAATAATTGGTATATAAAGACACCAAACGCTACTTCTGAAATAGATTTATAATAATGTGTATTAAAATTTAAATTTAAACATAAAACTATTAACTGATGTTTAGATTACGTGTAAAATACATAATCCATCGGTATCACAGAATTATAATACAGCTGATAAAGCATTTAGTAATCGGAATGATAACGCCTACAATTGATAAACTATTCAGTCATATATAAATAAGGTTGCTTGTGTATCCTATTAGGTAATTAAATTACCAAGTAAGTCCGCATACACAAAGGATGCTTTGTACAAACCACTCAGTAATATGTTAATATTCTAACACAGCGTCTACATTAAACAAT